CCCCTTCTGACTTCTGGAAAGCTATCCTTTTTTTTTTTTCTGGTAGTTTTAGTTTCAGATCTTAGGTCATTAATTAGTATACTGTTGATTTTTGTAATTAATAAAGATGGGGGTCCAGTTTCATTCCTCTGCAAGTGGATATCTTTTTTAAAATATTTAGTTGTAAGTGGACACAATACCTTTATTTTTATGTGGTGCAGAGGATGGAACCCAGTGCCTCACTTGTGCTAGGCAAGTGCTCTACCACTGAGTCACAGCCCAGCCCCACAAGTGGATATCACCTTTTCTTTCCGGATCAGGGGTGCTTTACCACTGAGTTGCATCCCCAGTCCTTTTTTTTTAAGACAGGTTTTGGGGGCTGGAGTTGTCAATGTGTGGGAGGCGGCCACTCTGATTCACATTCTCCTTCCCTGAGTGGAGAGGCTTTGACTGGTCACTACATCTCGTTGTGACCTCAGCGGTAGAGCGCTCACCTAGCACGTGTGAGGCCCTGAGTTCGAGCCTCAGCACCACATATAAATAAATAAAATAAAGGTCCACTGATGTCACGTACCTCACAACCAAAACACTCAGGGTCACTCCAGGGGAACTGGGCTGCCTGAAATAACCAAAGAGACAGAGATATCTTTTACTTTGAGGTCCTGTGACAGCTCCTCTGACCTTAAGGGTCCGAAGAAAGAGAGTGAACAAGTGCTGCTGAATCCTTTTATTAAAGAGAAGCCATTCAAATGAAGCAAGGGGTCAGGTTTGGGGGGCGGGTTAAGTCTAGCTTCGTGATGTCTGCCTTCAGCAGGTTGACTGACATCTAGGAAGGCCACACCCAAAGGCAGAGCAAGAGAAGGGGACAAAGGGCGTTTCCATGGAATATTCTATCCCAAACAGGGTAAAGGGGTAATATTACAAAGGAACAGGTGAGTGTAGCTCAATCCGTGGGGTGACACACCTATGTCTGAAGATGCGTCCTCAACCTTCGGGACTGGGGCAATGTCCAGGTCACAACGAGATGTAGTGACCAGTCAAAGCCTCTCCACTCAGGGAAGGAGAATGTGAATCAGAGTGGCCGCCTCCCACACATTGACAATAAAAAAACAGGGGGGTTTTGCTAAATTGCTGAGGCTGGTCTCAAACTTGCAATCCTCCTGCCTCAACTCCTGAATCACTGAGATTACAGGTGTGCAGACACCTATAACCCTAGTGACTGGGGAGGCTGGGGCAGGAGGAACACAAATTCAAGCCAGCCTCAGTAACTTAGTGAGACTGTCTCAAAATGAAAAGTAAAAAGGATTGGGAAGGTAGCTCAGTGACAAGGTGCCTCTGGATTCCATCTCCAGTACCATAAATAAATAAATGTGTCCTTTCTCAACTGCGTGTCTTTAGCAACTTCACTGAAAATCACCTGATTATAGACATGTGAGTTTATTTCTAATTCCTCAATTCTGTTCCACCGGTTTATGTGAGGTTTCTCTTTTTTATTTTTCTGTGGGGAATGGCGATTTAGGGTACCGTACCACTGACCCACACCCTGGCCCTTTTTTATTTTTAATTTTTAGACAGGGTCTAAGTTGCTGAGGCTGGTCTCAAATTTGTGCTCCTTCTGCCTCAGCCTCCCCCGTAGCTGGGGTTACAGGTCTGAGCTCTATCAAGCTGGACGATACTACCGTCTTTGATCTGAGCACTGTGATCTCTCTGTAAGCCAGCTCACGAGAAGAAGCCTCTTGCTTTGTTCTTTTTGCCCAAGATTGCTTTGGCCATTAGGAGTTTTTGTTATTATTGTTGTTCCACACAAATTGTAATATTCTTTTCTCTATTTACCCTATGTTCCGTATGTAATGTAGATTCCCCTTACTACTTCAAGAGGAATTTACTGATCCTGGGATTGCTTCTGGTAGCTTGGATGTTTTATTACCTTTACCACTTAACTGTGTGTTATCACAAAACTATAAGCACTTGGACCACATGAATGTGTTCCTTATCACATACTCAAATCCTACAATACTTTTTTTTTTGCTTGATTTTACATTTTGCATCTACAGAGACCGATGTTAAGAGAAATCTGAAAATTTAGCGTCAAGACTACATTTTGGCTGGGTGTGGTGGCCCAAGCCTGTAATCCCAGCAGCTCGGGTGGTTGAAGCAGGAGGATCATATGTTCAAAGCCTCAGCAATTTAGCAAGTCTCTAAGCAACTCAGTGAGACCCTGTCTCTAAATAAAATACAAAAAGGGCCTGGGGGTGTGTCTCAGTGGTTAAGTGCCCCTGGGTTCAATCCTCAGTACAAAAAAAAAAAAAAAAAAGCTACACTTTGTAGGCAATATGAAAAGTGATCTAGTCTTCCCTTACCCTTGCTTTGTATTCTGACAATTTACTTAAATATACTTACCTCATGCAACCCCTGTGGAATATTTCTTTAAAAACTATTATATATGTTTTTTTGGGGGGGAGGGGTTGTACTAGGGATTGAACTCAGAAACACTCAACCACTGAGCCACATCCCCAACTCTATTTCGTATTTATTTAGAGACTGGGTCTCACTGAGTTGCTTATCATCTCGCCTTTGCTGAGGCTGGTTTTGAACTCATGATTCTCCTGCCTCACCCTCCAGAGCTGCTGGGATGCCCAGCATCATATAGTTTTTAATGGATAACTAAGTCTACATATTTTAATGAACATAATTCATGGAAATCAATGTGTACTATAATAGAAAAAAGGATGGAATAACAAGAATCGTGAGACCACATCATACACATTACACAGAAGAGGAAGGCAATGATTTATTAGCAAGGAAAATAAAATAAACCTTTTTCTCTACTGACCCTCTTAACTACAGTTTTTCCCAAAAGGAGGAATGTGATATCAAGTTCCTGACACACAGACCAGCAATGGACAAAACATCCCTTTTCAATAGCTCATTAATGACAATTGATGACAATTAAATAGCTCATAAGTGCCAATTAAACAGTGTAAAATTGAATCTATCATATTGCAAATACAATTCACCCACCCATGTATCAAAATGCAAAGATAATAGGAAAAAAAAAACACCCCACCAAGTCCCTGTAAATTGCTTAAATTCTTACAGAAACATTTCATTTCATATGTTGTTGTTTTGGTACCAGGGGAGTGAACCTAGGGTTGCTTAACCACTAAGTAACATCCTCAGCCCTTTTTTATATTTTACTTAGAGACAGGGTTTCACTGAGTTACTTAGAACCTAAGTTGCTGGAGGCTGGCTTTGAAGTTGTGATCTTGCTGCCCCAGTCTCTAGAGCTGCTGGGATTACAGGTGTGTACCACCACACCCAGCTGAAACATTTCATTTAATGTTTCAAATTACTACATATCCAAGTTAAAAATGAGACACTGAAGAACAAAATATACTCAGAATTTTTGCATTTCTTTCTTGTAAATTCTTCATAGAATAAATACTTCAGTATTAATGAGGTTTTCTATATAACTTACATTTACAAAACTTCTCTCCAGTATGATTTCACATGACTTAAATTACTAGCTGACCTGGGAGGCTGAGACAGGAGGATCCCAAGTTCAAGGCCAACCTCAGCATTTAATGAGACACTGTCTCAAAAAATAGAAGGGTCGAGGATGTTCTCTGGTAAAGCATCCCTGGGTTCAATTCCCAGTGTAAAAACAAAACACAACAACCAAACTTGTTAAAATGCATGGGGCCAGGTGGAGGACATCTGTAATCCCAGATATTAAAGGGAATGAGGAAGGAATATTGCAAGTTCAAGGCAGGCCTGGACAACTTGGTGAGATCCTATCTCAAAATTTAAAAAGTGCTTGGGATGTAGCTTAGTTGTGAAATGACTGGGTTGAAACCTTAGTACCCGCCCTCCAAAAATTAAAAAAAAAAAATCCCACTTGGTAAAATGGAAAACTTTCCTTCACTTTTAAAAGGAAGTGCTTCAAAGCCATGTATAATCTTACATATATATTTGAAAAGATGTAGGTTACCAGGTTTGACACATTGCATATATTCGTGGAGATTCTCACGACTGTGAATCCTTCGTGGCTACAATTTGAACTGATGACAAGCCTTACTGCATTTTCACATCATAAGACATCTGTCCATTGGGCATTCCTTTCTCAGCTGAAGACTGCATGGCAGTGAAAGMATTCCCATGCTCCTCTCATAGGATTTCTCCAGTAGGCATTATCTCATGAATTGGAAAGAAACTGAGAATTTGAAGGCTTTCACATATTCCTTGTATTTATAGCACTTGCCTCCATTCTGGGTTGCTCTCGTATTTCAAACAACTAAAACTTTACCACACTCTTTATATTCTCAATGTTTTTCTTCAGTGAGTCCTTTCATGCCTTAGAAATGGAGAAACTTATAAGTTTACATTTGTAAGGCTCTTATCCATTAGGTACTATCACATATCTTCCAATATTTGCAAAGGACTCAAACACTTTCCCATATTCTGTACATTCATATTTCTCATTCATATTTCTTTTATGTACTTGGAAAGTACTCAAGTAAGGCTTTGCCATGATGGTTCCCTCCATAGTGTAATCCTTTTATACACATGAAAAGAAAATGAGAAAACTCTTTCCCATGTGGCTTAACATAAATAGGGTTTCTCTTTCAGTATGGGTCCTTTTCATGGATTGGAACTGAACAAGCATTTGAACCCTTTCCCAAGTCCTTACATGCAAGGGTTTCTATCCAGTATGGGTCCTTTCATGAACTATAAAAGATCAAGATTTTTTTTTGAAAGCCTTCCTACATGGCTTACATTCATAGGGCTTCCCTCCAGTGTGAATCCTTTTATGTACAAGAATAAAAACTAGTGAAGGATTTTCTGTGCTGCTTACACACAAAGGGTTGCTCTCTAATGTGAATCCTTTTGGGTAGTTGAACTAAAACAAGTGGAAGTTTCCCACACTGCTTATATTCCTAGGGCTTCTCTCCATTGTGAGTCCGTTCATGGATTTGAAAAGAACTAGAACTTCTGAAGGCTTTCCCACATTCCTTACATTGCTAAGGTTTCTCTCCAGTGTGTGTCCTCTCATGCAATCGTAAAGAACTAAAATTGCAAAAGGCTTTCCCACATTGTTTACACTCATATGGTTTATCTCCAGTGTGAATTCTTTGGTGAACTTGAAAAGACCAAGAATCCTTGAAGGCTTTCCCACATTCATTACAGTCATAGGGTTTTTCCCCAGTGTGTGTCTTTTCGTGGACACGGAAAGACCAAGAACTGCTATAAGCTTTCCCACACTGCTTACATTCATAGGGTTTCTCTCCAGTGTGAGTCCTTTCATGGATTCGAAAAGAACTAGAACTTCTGAAGGCTTTCCCACATTCCTTACACTGGTAGGGTTTTTCTCCAGTGTGCATCCTTTCATGCAATCGTAAAGAATTACAATTGCGAAAGGCTTTCCCTCACCGCTTACATTCATAGGGTTTTTCTTCGCTGTGAGTCCTTTCATGGATTCGACAAGAAGAAGAAGCAACAAAGCCTTTCCCACATTGCTTACATTTGTATGGTTTCTCTCCAGTGTGAGTCCTTTCATGGATTCAAAAGGAACTAGACCTTCCGAAGGATTTCCCACATTCCTTACATTGATAAGGTTTCTCTCCAGTGTGAGTCCTTTTATGCAACTGAAGAGGACTAAAATCGATGAAGGCTTTCCCACATTCCTTACATTCATAGGGTTTCTCTCCAGTGTGAATCCTTTCATGCACTCGAAGATATTTCACATCCTTGAAGGCTTTTCCACAGTGCTTACATTTATATGGTTTCTCTCCAGTGTGAGTCCTTTCATGGATATGAAAGAGAATAGAACGAGAACTTCTGAAGGATTTCCCATATTCCTTACACTGATAAGGCTTTTCTCCAGTATGAGTCCTTTTGTGCAACCGAAGAGAACTACAATTGCTAAAGGTTTTTCCACATTCTTTACATTCATAAGGTTTCTCTCCAGTATGAGTCTTTTCATGGACATGAAAATACCAAGAATTGTTGTAGGCTTTCCCACACTGCTTACATTCATAGGGTTTCTTTCCAGTGTGAATCCATTCATGGATATGAAAAGAACTAGAAGTTCTGAAGCCTTTTCCACATTCCTTACACTCATAAGGTTTCTCTCCAGTGTGAATCCTTTCATGCACTCGTACATATCTCACATCTCTGAAAGCCTTCCCACATTGTTTACATTTATATGGTTTCTCTCCAGTGTGAATCCTTTCATGGACTTGAAAAGAACTACAACTTCTGAAGGATTTCCCACATTCCTTACACTGATAAGGTTTTTCTCTCATATGAATCCTTTCATGATTCAGAACTGATTTGGAAAATTTAAAAGCTTTCCCACAATATTTACATTTATAC